CGTCTTCCCTCCCTCCCCATCCCTTCCACCCTCTCTAAAAGTCAATGGAAAAAATATCCTCAGGTGAGGATTAAAAAATAAATTTAAAAAAATGTTTGAATACAGTACAATATATTCGTAACACTAAATGCGAGACGAGTTAGGCAGTTTTCAATTATGTTGGTAACACTGAACAGTGCCTAGTATAATGCTAAATACTAATATAATCCTATATAATAAAAGGCTAATATGCAAATCAACCAAACGGAGGAACAACCGATCGCTATGGCGCACACTGACCATCAGGGGACACTCAACGCAGGAGCTGCCATTGGTGGTCAGTGCGCTCCCACAGGGGGTGCACCGCTCAGCCAAAAGCCAGGCTCACGGCTGGCGAGCACAGCGGTGGTGGCGGGAGCCTCTCCCCGCTCTGTGGCAGTGCTAAGGATGTCTGACTGATGGCTTAGGCTCGTTCCTCACAGGGAGCGGGCCTAAGCCGTCAATCGGACATCTCTGAGGGCTCCTGGACTACGAGACGGAGGGACACCCCCCCCCAAGTGCACGAATTGTGTGCACCGGGCCTCTAGTGTCTAATAAAAGTATAACTTTGCTGAGTAATTTTCTTGCAGATCTCTAAAGCTTAATAAAATTTGAAAAGCTTTAAGAAAAGCCATGTGGAATCTTTAAAGTTATTTCAGTTTAAACATTTCTTTAATATCAGTTTCTCTCAGAAGTTTTTCAGGATCACCAACCAACCCCAACCTAAATCAAGTCCCATATTATAACTGGTCATTGTACCATTTATTTTCTCTATAATTCACAATTACATATGTGTTGATATGATTGTTCAATGTCTCCTCCCTAGACTGGCCAGTAGGGCCTGTGTCTGAATTGTTATACTCCCTAGCACCTAGCATAGTACTTCTGTCCAGAGAGGAGGCCCAATGAACATATGCTGAATGACTGAATAACCTGAGTTAACATTCCAGAAAATACTTACCTAATGAAATCTAACAGTGATAAGTTTACTGAAAATTCTAGCTGAACAGCATGAGTGTTCATCATTTGGTAATTTATAAAACCAGAAAGATTCCCTTCTGTAAAAGGTTTTTCCATCTGCACACTATATTGAAAGTTTTTTGTGTTCTCTGCTTCTATTATAGGCAAGCAGCATCCGGGTTGCTCAGTGATCTGTAGGTAAAAGTAATACAAGTATTGAAGAAGGGATCGATACAGACTATCATATGAATACCAAATTTCTATTTAATTCAAGTAAAGCACATTACTGTGAGATGTTAATAACTACATTATGAAGATGACTAACAACTTCACTTGAGAAAAATTCACTAGCACAGATAATCAAGAACTAATAGTACACAGATAAAAAAAAATGTAACAAATGTCATTACAATGAAAGCCTCTGTATAATTTGAGAACAAAAAAATATGTATTAAACTCTAGTCTTGTGGCTCTCAATCCTGGCTAGCACCAGATCTTTAAAGCTAGGAGAGTTAAAAGATATATACAGGTGCCTTCCCTTTCCATTCTCCACCCTTACTCAACTACTGGTGGTAGAACTCAGGCAACTGAATTGGGTTTGGTTTTGTTTTAAGTTCCATAGGTGATTCTTATGCAAATCTAGAACTTCTGTCCTGGTCAGGCCAAGGTAATATCCCATTCAACACAATCTAGCTCATAGAAGAAATTAGGTCAGTTTTGTGGAATACTGATCTACTGGTCAAATCTCATTATAACTCCACCAAGGACAGCCACATAATAACACAAACAGCATTATTTCCAGAAATCACAATGAGGTCTCTTGGAGCCAGGCAAGAAACAACTGAAGCCTGAGCACTCTATGATGCAAAAGCACTATTAATATCTTCACTTTAAATGCCAGGAAACTACGGCACAAAGCAGGTATATAACTTGAGCATGGAACACAGCTAAAAAGCAGCAGAAGCAAGATTCAAGGGCAAGCAGTCTGAGTCAAGAGTCTATGTTTGTAACTACTGTGCTCTATCAAAACTCATTTTATATAGGGTGGAGCAAAAGTAGGTTTACAGTTGTTCACATGGAAAATAATGCAATAATTAATAAATAATACAAGAATAAACTCTGTGTTTCACGTACTCACAATTGTAAACCTATTTTTGTCCCCGCTGTATTTGTGGCCTTCTCCAATACAACCTTTATTATGTTTCCTTGAATCTTTTGAATAATTCACTCCTACACAAATTAATTAAATAATCTGTCATATCTTGTACTTTTTTTTTTTGCTAAAGAGGAAGGAAGAATGTGAAAAAAATGCACAAACCATCAGAAGAGCCAACAGCAGAAACACTAAGTAAGCACTGTACATTTAAGGCAAGAAATAACAAACCATTCATTGTCATACCTTGAAATTTTCTGCAGGAGCAATTTCTAAGTTAACACCTTCCAATTCTGAACCACTCTTATTAGAAACTAACCACACCATCAATAAACAATCATCTTTCCAAATTTTGTAAGAAGACAATGACATGGTTTCAGTATTGCAGACCTCCGTAAGATCTGAATGCATGTGCTCAGTAGTTTCTTCCAACAAAGAAGCTAAGGAGCTTTCACCGGCAAGTGAGGCTGAGGTGGACCGGGGAGGGTGAAACACTTCCATGTCATCAGCAAACAAGGAAGGTGCGGGCCGCCTGCACTCTGAGAGTTTCTCCACCAAGGGCGGTTCTGCGAGTGACTCGGAACCCAGAAGTTCTGCACTTAGAGCAAATTTCTCTAATTCTTTGTCTCTTCTATCCCGCAAATTATCCAAGTAATAATCTTCTTCATAAGTCACATTTGTAGGAGAACTAAAGGAAGAACGGGTCATGTTATGAGCATTGGTTTTTTCTCCACTTATGGCTTCTTTGACTTTTGATTTCCTTCTGAACTTGTGAGAGATGGTATCTGCTTTTCCTAGCTGTGAAAATGAAACATAATAATATAAAAAGAAACCATTCTTCTAGTCATGAGTTTTAAACAGTTTTCTATAATTTTAAATGAGCAATTTAATAGCTTGCTGAAGTTCTATCTATAAAGCACAGATTAAAAAAGAATCAGAGATAAATAAAATGTTAAGCCCTGAAATTCTGACAGCTATATAACATTGAACTACTAGCTAAATCTTATTTCTCATTTAATAACACATAAAATCAGCCTGGCCATGGGTGGGTGTTTGAGTGTCAACCATGAACCAGGAAATTATGGTTTCATTCCCAGTCAGGGCACATGCCAGGTTGCAGGCTCAATCCCAGCAAGGAGTGTGCTGGGAGCAGCTGATCAATGTTTCTCTGTCATCATTGATGTTTCTCTCTCTCCTTCTCCCCTCCTCTCTGAAATCAATAAAAATTTATTTTAAAAATAAAAGTAAATAAATAACACATAAAAGAAAGAAATGTTAAAAAGTCCAATGTAAACAATTCTAAAAACTTGCTAGATTTCAGAATACTAGAGTACAGAATTGCGCAAATTAAAAAGAGTGAGAAACCCAGCTATTTTTTTGTTCTTGAGTTTTCTTATAGAGTTCTCCTCAAACTCTGACTCAGGAATATACAGTAATCATGATTTCATGGCCTATGAGTCAATAAACAGGGAAGAAAAACTGGTTTTACCTCAAGAATCAACTGGCAATGGCTGACTGGAACACATAGCAGTAAAGAATTCTATAAGTGACTAGTGATGTTAGCTATGGATTCTAGAGGTGGGAACAGTAAATTTGCCATCCTTGAGCTAACCCTCCTGAGGAATGGCCTGCAAATCTATATAAGAAGAGTGACTCAAGTGTCCCCTTGCCTCTCAAAGTCCTATCTAAAATCAGTAGAACAGACTGGCACTCACTACTCTAAGTCTGGGGGCTGTACCACCACATGGCTACCCTTCACATGATTCTAGTTTACCAGAATTCTAGGTCCCTGTCCATAATCTCTCATTCTTTCAAGTCCCAACACCTCTTCCAACTCTCAAAAGTAAGGGATGAGTCTGTCTCCTCCCTTTCAATTCAGAAGTCATCACACAAAAACTAACACTGTTTTAAGACAAAAACAAGTGGGGGTGGGTGGGTAAAGGATTTCCATTCCAGTAGCCATGGGACTTGAATTAGACACACAGTAGTCCCCCTTATCTGTGATTTTGCTTTCCATGGTTTCAGTTACCTACAGTCAACATCAGTCCAAAAATATTAAATGGAAATTTTCAGAAATAAATAATACATAAGTTTCAAATTGCACGTCATTCATAGTAGTGTGATAAAATCTCTCACTGTCCTGCTATGTACATCCCAGGACGTGAATCATTCCTTTGTCTAGCATATCCAGGCTGTATACGATAGCTACCCATTAGTCACTTAGCCCTCTGGGTTATCAGATCAACTGTCTCAGTACTGCAGTGCTTGTAATTCATGTGCCCATATTTTACTTTAATAATTGCCCCAAAATACAAGAGTAGTGAAGCTGGCAATTTAGATATGCCAAAGAGAAGCAATACAGTGCTTCCTTTAAACGAAAAGGTGAAAGTTCTTGATTTAATAAGAAACAAAAAAAAAAAAATCATATGCTGAGGTTGCTAGGAACAAATCTTCTATTTGTGAAACTGTGGGGAAGAAAAAAGAAATTTGTACCAGACTGTGGTAGCAACTCAAACAGTAAAGTTACAGCTACAGTCGGTGAAAAGTACTTAGTTAAGATAGAAAACACATTAAATTTGTGGCTGAGAGACATGAACAGGAAACATGTTTTAAATGATGGTAATGTGTTGCTCCAGAAAGTACTAAGCCTACACGAAGACTTCAGCAAAGGATCCCCTGAAACGAGTGACACCAAGCCATTTACTGCAAGCAATACTGTTAGGCTAAATTTGTTTTTTCTTAGGAGGGAATGAATATCAAGTCTAACAGAAATGGGATCTGTAAAAGACAGAGATACAGTAAAGAATGTAGCCTGGAGTCTGGCCTAGTGTTGACAAGGATGGAGAGAAAATTCCACTAGGGAGAAGGAGGATGAAAGAACTGGGACCATGTAAAACTGAAGAAAATGTAGCTCTAATCACAATTTTGCACTAGGTATGTTCATCAGGCTGCCAAATGGAAAATGACATGGAATTTTCAGACACTCAAAAATAGTACCTTGCCCAGCAGGTGTGGCTCAGTGGTTGAGTGTCGACCTATGAACCAGGAGATCATAGTTTGATTCCCATTCAGGGTACATGCCCAGGTTTCATGATCAATTCTCAGTATGGGAAGTGCAAGAGGCAGCCAGTCAATTATTCTCTCTCATCAGTGATATTTTTATCTCTCTCTCTCCCTCTCCCTTCCTCCCTGAAATCAATAAAAATAAATATATTTTTAAAAAATAGCACCTGCCCTTCTTTTACTATGAGAATAATACATTAGGATAAAAACTTTTGAAAATCACTATAATCGTAATGCCTGAATGTAGTTTCCATTTTTGTATAATTCATTCAATCTCAAAACACTTTTATCTTCTTAACAGTTATAGGTAAGATGTAAATAGAATTTTATATTATTTTTAGTATATCCTAAGTATTTTTTATTTTACAATGCAGTACTTAGCATTTTTAATGGCTGAGTAGTATTCTGAGCTAATATAATTTATGTACCCTTTCTCCTGTTAGACACCTAAATTGACTCCTATTTTTCACTATTAAAAACATCATTTTGAGAAGTACTTTTTTCACAGACAAATCAATATTGTTGAACTATTATTGTTGACAGTATTTCCATCAAACCCCTCCCACTGAGAACTGTCCCCCACCCACTGGGGTGAGAATACTCTTAGTTACAGTTATAACTTTATTTGGGCCCTGCCCCTTGCCTAGCTGACTAGACAGACTAGAGAGAACTCCTTACTCAAGCTGAGCCAATTAGATTTTCTCTTTCAGGAATACAAAGGTGTGTCATTGGTGGCTCTGGAGCTGGGAAAGCCATTTCCCACTAGATAGACAGATAGATAGATAGATAGATAGATAGATAGATAGATAGATAGATAGATAATGGCCAAGAGCTTTCATAGAGCAAGGTTTTTTATATGAAACAGGGGACACAGACTCTCAGAGGAATATAACTGGCTACTTACCAAATTGACTGTACTTTCTGATCCTAGCCCAACAAATAACGACGATGCCAGCAGCTGCTTTTCTTTCTCCTCTTTAGATTGGGCAAGGACTTGAGATGGGTCCTTTTTTGATATAGTTGGGTCGACATTCTCTATTATGCTCTCTTGAGAAACAGGCGGAGCTTCCGTTTCATCACCAGTTTTGCTTTCCTTCTTGGGAAGATAGCCCTCTTTCCCCCACAATTTCTGTATACCTTCCAGCTTCAAGCTACTTGTCCTAAGGAGATTGATAATGAAATCAAGTCAATTTAAGTAACTGCTAAGCAATTACTTTCTTGAGGCATTTTTAAAAACCTGTCGTTGCCACGGCCTTTTAGAAACAGCTTTTTATTTTAAAATGTATGCCCAAAGCAAAATCTAGATCTCTAGATTTTATTTTAGTTACAGCCAAACCCCCCCTCCACCATCATTCAGACAAAGGATTTAAGGCAACAGAACTCTAGACATAGTTTAAAATTTAGATCATTTAATTTTCATTTAATTGCTTACATAAGGTGTCCACAAATAGAACTACTGTAAATCAGTTCCTTAACCCCAATGACTTTGCAAAATATCTTCAATTCTGATGAGTTAAACTTAAGTTTTTTAGCTATAATCACTCAGTGAAAGAATTAACTCTACATAAATTCATCAAATAAAATCCTGTTGTAAAAAAAATAATCATTCAAATCCACTCAAATGTATAAACTTACCTTTAATCCAAAAGGTTTTCTTGATATGAACACTAGCTACATTTTCAACCATTACAATGTACCTTTATAAAAATGAAGCGAGGTTTGATTTATAAAAGAAAAAAGATTTTTGAAAAAAACATGAAGATTAGGAGGTTTTTATACCTGAGTTGAAGAAGAATTAAAGTAGTGATTAGAATTTGGGCTCACCTACTGCTGTCCCAAAAATGACAGCTATGAATCTGCAGTGTCTAATATAACCATAAGTACAGGCTGAAACAGCCAAAGATTGCCTCTATTATGTTCATATAAGAACTGTGTGTCCTTGGCACTTGGCTCGTTTAAGTAGCCCTGTTGTGGTCCAAAATAGCATTTTGGAAATTTTCACTACAAGATAGGCAGATCATAAAAAAAAGACTCAGAAATGTTTGTACTGATTATTATTCCCTTCTAATTAGTTAGAATCGTGATCACTTTGATTTTCTGTATAATGCCAAAAACAAAAATAGGTAGTTATACTTCATACTGAGTGAAGAACTAATAGCTATTAAGTACTAATTGGCTGAAAGAAAATCTGAATGTTAATAAAGAATGACCTACAGCCCTAACCGGTTTGGCTCAGTGGATAAGAGCGTCGGCCTGCGGACTGAAAGGTCCCAGGTTCGATTCCGGTCAAGGGCATGTACCTTGGTTGCAGGCACATCCCCAGCAGGAGGTGTGCAGGAGGCAGCTGATCGATGTTTCTCTGTCTTCAATGTTTCTACCTCTCTATCCCTCTCTCTTCCTCTCTGTAAAAAATCAATAAAATATAAAAAAAAAAAAAGAATGACCTACAGGGAATCAGTCCATTCCTCCTCAATAAATTTTGCTGCTAAATGGTCCTTTACAAGTATCTCCATTTCTCTCTTTCTTTCAGGTACCAAAGAATTTTCTAAAAAGTTATCAAGCCCAGCCAGGGTGGCTCAGTGGTTGAGTGCCCACCTATGAACCAGGAGGTCACAGTTCGATTCTCGGTCAGAGCACATGCCTAAGTTGAGGGCTCAATTCCTGAGGGGGTGTACAGGAGGCAGCCGATTGATGATTCTCTCTCATCCTTGATGTTTCTATCTCTCTCTCCCTCTCCCTTTCTCTCTGAAATCAATAAAAATATTTTTTTTAAAATAAAAATAGCCTGGCCAGCATGGCTCAGTGGTTGAGCGTCAACCTAGAAACCAAGAGGTCATGGTTCGATTCTTGGTCAGGGCACATGCCCAGGCTGGGCTGCAGGCTTAATCCCCAATGGGGGGCCTGCAAAAGGCAGCCTATCAATGATTCTTTCTCATCATTGATGTTTCTATCTCTCTCTCCCTCTTCTTTCCTCTCTGAAATCAATAAAAATATATTTAAGAAAATAAAATAAAATAAAAAATAAAAAACTATTATCTATCAACCTCTTACAAGAAAACTGGTTGTCCTTGCATGAGCAGATCCAAAAGTGCTCATGGTAGCCACTAAAATGACCCCCAGTATCTCTAGGGTGCTCACCAGCAGCAATTCAAAGGGATTCATAATGTTCACAGCAGGATTATAGAGCTTCTATAACCCAGTTTACCAAGACATATCCTTTAATGATTTTTTTTAAAAGCAAGTCCCCAAGTTTTACTAATAAATGATTCAAATACTAGTTTTTTTAAAAAGGCAGGTGTTTTGGACACCAGGATGCTCCATACAGATCTCCCTTCAATGCAGAACTGTACTGTCCCTGCTGTTGGCAGTGCAATCCCTCCACTGCCTTAGGGGCAGAGGGCCACCTCACCAAACATAACGCTGCTTCCAGAGCAACCCGCACGCAGTGACTGATGAACTTAAGCACAGAGCCCTGTCCACCCATTTTGTCCACCTGAGGATAACTCTGAAGGGCCATTCTAGCTCCAGAGCTCCCCATGGGGTCAGTAAAATCTGTCATTGCATTGCATGGCATCTTAACTACTTCCTCTGCCCAAACCTGCTTCTTTCCCCTTCCTTCCATAGGTATTGAACTCAAGGGGACTCCTTAATATTCTACACGCTAAATTCCACCACACTGTGTGCTTCTCAGGAAACCCAACCCCCAACAAAGGGCAAGACGAGAAAGGGGAAGAAAAGTAAGCCTAAAAGTAGCCTTGAGCTATTTTAAAGGTTTTTCTGGCTCATTTCATCTGCACAACATGCTTCTCATCAACATAAATTTTCTCTGTCATACATTATATACAAACAGTCTAAAAAGCAGACAAGTAAATAAGAGAGCAGCATAAAGCCTTCATATACAAAATATGATATAAAACATACTGTAAAAAAATGTTTTTAAACACGAGTCATCTTGGTCTGGATTTGGATAATAAAAAAAACCTAATACAAATGGTATACCTTGTATTATTTTGACTCAGACCATTCAAACACAGAAGTAAATTCTGGCCAAGCAACCTTCAAAAGATTGGGGACATATTTTACACTCAGCTCTAGGAATTCCCATTTGAGGTACGGTACTGCCTATAATAGGACTTAGGGTAAGAAATTGTCAATTGGGCTGGCAACTGCTTTGCTATCACCTTGCCAGAGACTACAGAAGAGTGACAGTCTCCTCCCTAAAGCTGATTCACTTGGCCAATTACCACAGAGGTTTCTAATCTGAAATAATGAGTGAGCTGTGGTCCTCTTTGGAAAAGAATTTTAAATGCACCCTTGTGTTCCATTTTATGGTAATACAGCATATGTGTAATTCCTTAGCTGCTTTGCCAAATGCCCTGTCTCTGAGAGTAGAACATGTTTGCACATAGAATTTACAAGGCCCTGTTTAATATTTAGTTTAATACTAAAAAGCAGATGCTGTCAATTGTTGTGCAGGTAAAGGGACTATGTCTCCTCCCTGGGTTTGGAGCGTTCTTGTCTCTCCTTCCCTTGCCCCTCAGTTCCCTATTTGGGGCACTTAATTGCTATCACCTCCACTATCACATGCCTACAAACCATACCTGCTTTCCATGCTTGGAATGCCAAAAATTAAATGTCTGAGAAAGAAATGGGTGTCCACAGAGCAGGAAAAAAGGCTAAGGAAGAGAATTTGAACTTATGCCACTTCATTCAGCATATCATTCTACATTCCTCATGATCTATGTGTTTTTGTTCTGAGAAAAACTTCTTACAACCATCTCCCTGAAAGACTGACACACGTAAAGATGAACATAAAATAAGGTGAATGACTCCTTAATGAATATATGAAAACTCAAAATTCAAATGTCATCTTTGAAAGTTGTCACCTTTGAGATTTTATCACATTTATTCCAACAATGCTGCCATTACTCAAAACACTTGAACTCTTTTAGAAGAAGCTCCTACACAAACAAGAAGGCCATTTTCATTTACTTCATATCACAACAGAATAGTGACCAAAGTCATCCAGATTGATCAGAAATTTTATTTGATAAACTCAGCTTTTGGATAATGATAATGATGACAGCTACCATTTATTAATCACTATGTACTCAGCTATATGAGGCACTTTGCATAATTATCTCATTTAATTTAATCATCTTTCTGAGAGTAATTTATTTATATTTCCAAAATCAAAACCTACTTAAAAAGGTTACCATTTGGCTGCACATAAGACATTTAGACATCTGTATCACCAATTTTCAAGGAAAGGAACTCTAGAAGCATTTTGAGTAAAGCACACAACTTCCTCAGGTGAAGTCAATCACCTTATTTTATGTTCATCTCTCTATCTGTCAATCTTCCAATGAGATGGTTATGAAAAATCGATTATGAGAAATGTAGAATTATATGCTCAATATTCACCTGGGTATATAAGTTGTGATATACTTCTTTAAATATATTATACACACACATATATATACACACATATACATACAATATGTAGTAATAATACACACATCATTACTGTGTGTAAAGGTTGTATACATCCTATGCTATCTTGGAAATAAGCAAACACTCTCTCTCTCTCTCTCTCTCTCTCTCTTTATTTTTATTTTTTTGTTGATCCTCACCCAATGATATTTTTCCATTGATTTTTAAAGAGAGTGGAAGAGCCCTAGCTGATTTGGCTCAGTAGATAATACATCAGCCTGCGGACTGAAGGGTTCCAGGTTCTATTCTGGTCAAGAGCACATGCTGGGGATGTGGGCTCCATCCCCAGTAGGGGGCGTGCAGGAGGTAGCCAATCAATAATTCTCTCTCATCATTGATGTTTCTTTTTTAAAAATATATTTTTATTGATTTCAGAGAGGAAGGGAGAGGGAGAGAGAGAGAGACATCAATGATGAGAGAGAATCACTGATTGGCTGCCTCCTACACCCCCACCCCTCCCCACACCGGGGATCGAGCCCACAACCTGGGCATGTGCCTTTAACAGAAATCAAACTTGGGACTCTTTAGTCCGCAGGCTGATGCTCTATCCACTGAGCCAAACCAGCTAGGTCATCATTGATGTTTCTATCTCTCTTTCCCTCTCCCTTTCTCTCTGAAATCAATAAAAATATATTTTTTAAAAAGAGAGAGAGAATGGAAGACAGGGAGAGAGACAGAGAGAGAGAGAAACATCAATGTGAGAAAGACACATCGATTGGTTGCCTCCCACATGCACCCCAACCAGGGCCGGGGATTGAGCCTGCAACCGAGGTGTGTGCCCTTGGCCAGAATAGCACCTGGGACTCATCAGTCCATGGGCTGGCTGATGCTACATCCACTGAGCCAAACCAGCTAGGGCGCAAATTCTCTTAAAGTGTAAAGACATACTGTATCGTATCAATACATTTTTGAGAGCAAGAAATAGAAACAACAGCCCAAGCAGAATTTATCTTTCAGGAACCCCTCTACATTTAAAGACATTTAAATATTCCCATGTTCTCAATTTTAGTAAGAAAGGAACTTACTCTTTCAGCCCTATTTCTGCACTGTTTCCAGATATATCTGAACCCAGAGAAATGCCAGCAGGAGACTGTCGTCCAGTAAAGCCAGATGAAGAAAAGGAGAGTCCATATGGTTCAAAATTGAGAACTAGAAATTTAAAACAATAAGAATGGTTCATATTTAAAACAAAGCCAAAATTATTTTTAAAAAGGCAAAAATTATCAAAGTTACCATCATTACTAAAATAAAATAACTGAAGACTAGAATCCAGTGACAATTTTTAAACTGGAAGGGAACTTGGAGATGATCTAACCAAATATTTATAATAATAACAAAGCAGCTATGATTTATTTAATACTACTACAATCTTCACACTATTAGCTGATCAAAGACAGTACTTCATTTTTATCATTTTACCTCCCTTAGAACCTAAAAAAAAAATTCAATTAGGAAAGAGCTAATAAACCAGATCTACTGAAAAGTTGCCGCTCTCAAGCAAAAATGTTTAAGCAGCTATGAACGAAGAGATGGCTGCATTTTGCTTAACAAAATGGCACATTCCTGTACTGAACAGACTGACATAGCCCTCGATGTGAAATCTCCCTTCCTGATGAGGAACAGGTTTACTCAGGTTCGGATTCCATTGAGCCTGTACACCCAAATGAACTCAACCAGAGCCTTGAAAATTCATGTTGTTATTATGGTAGAGCAGATGCCAATATACATTCTCTTCTTTCTCAGTAACAGAACCCTTGATTCTTAGCTAGGTACATGGCCACCCAGAAAAGAGATGGCATTTCCAGACTCCTTTGACATCTTTCTTCCCTCCCTTCCTCTCCTATATTCATGAAGCCAACATCAATCCTAGGCTGGATACTTATGATATTTCTTTAATGGGAAAGAGCAATAACCTTCTGCTTTGTATAAGGTCCCACTATGTATATTTGTTTTCCTAACTGCCTCATTTATCTTTTTTCTTCTTAAATCATAAAAAGTACCTACGAATATATTAATGTGGATATCCTCATTTTACAAATGAAGAAATTGTGGCAAAGAGGTTGCCACGAACTTACCCAAGATTACAAAGAAAGGAAATGATACAGGCAGATAAGAAAGAAAGAAAAAAGAAATCAGACATTCTGGTTCCAGAGTTTCACTCTCAACTACTATATTACATTGCCTCTTCCAAAGAAACATAGCCCTCAATGTGAAATCTCCCTTACTGACGAAGAGTATGTGACCCAAAGAGTACCAAATAAATGTTTGTTTGTTAGCTAAATGAATGATATAGAAGAGGAATCAATGTGCAGTAGAAAAAAAGTAATGTGCAAATTGATAATCAGGAAAACTGAGTTCTTTGATGTAGGTCAGGTGTTAACTAGGTATATGAACTAGACCAGGGGTCCTCAAACTACGGCCCGCGGGCCACATGCAAATACAAGTATTGTATTTGTTCCTGTTTTGTTTTTTTACTTCAAAATAAGATATGTGCAGTGTGCATAGGAATTTGTTCATAGTTTTTTTTAAACTATAGTCCGGCCCTCCAACGATCTGAGGGACAGTGAACTGGCCCCCTGTTTAAAAAGTTTGAGGACCCCTGAACTAGACCTTCATTTCTTTATAAAGTGAAGAGTTCAGACTAGGTCAGCAGTTTCCAAATGCTGATTTGATAATCAGAATCAAGCTGACTTCACCGATCACCCATAGACCTTTGTGTACATACAGCCAAGCTTTCAGAGATTTAAATATAGAAGGTATAGGGATAGGGCTATGTCCTGTCTTATAACTGATTTCTCGCCCCATGATGTAACAGATAGCCTAAGCTCATGAAATTTGGATTTTACTTTAGAAAACTTTTGAAAAATAGATTTTGGAAGAAAAGGGAAGAGCCTAATTTGAGAGCTTAACCCCATTTATAATGATGTTCTATGGGGGAAAAGTACTTGGCAAAGGAATTCATTCGTTTGGGGAATTCCAGGACTGTCTATTATATTTATATCAGCCACTTACCTTATTTTAAGAATAGAGACAGGCAGTGCCAGGAACTAGGCTCTTCATCCTATCTCCCCTTCCCTACCCCACCCCTGAACTGTAGTAATAGCAGGCTGATGGCCCAGGCACACTGAAAATAAGGAATATGGCAAATGGACCACATCTCCACTCTGGAACTCCAGATTTTCACTCCTTGTCCTGGATGTCATAAGGCTTCTATATGCACTACAGTCACAGGTCGGGCAATTATAACTCAAAATTTATTTACCGCCCCCCCCGCCCCCAACACACATACATATTCTATCAATACAGGGTATCACTGTGCTAAACAATATGTCACAAACTTTAAAAGAACAAATACTTCTACAAAAAGATAACATCATGCCTATTATTAGTGTTTGTGCTTTTTGGTCTCATTTTAGGATCAACCATTTAGTTGTACTCATATGCCTAGCACAGAGCCTAGAAAATATTAAGTACTCAACAAAACCATTAAACTATTTAAGCCATTAAATAATTTCCTCCTTACTAAAATCATGACAGAAATCTTTCCCTGACAGCTACATTTCTTAAATTCTTTCCTGTCTTCGCTGTTCCTAACGTCACTGATCACATATTTTGTTGGAGGAAGTGTTCTAACACACTTAAGATATACAACACTGCACAGAATGAAAATGAAACTCACTAGTCCATAGAACCAGTTTTTTCCTGAAACTGTTTCACAGGTATGCTCACACTACTCTCTGTCAGCCCTCTATCACCGTGACCAACATGGTAATTCCACCTGCCAAGCAGGTCTTTTGAAATTCCTGGATGGCTGTCATATCTTAGGCACTGCTGTATAGGAAGCCTACGACTTCAGGAATACCTCTAGGCTAACTGTTTTTTCCTGGGTTTCCAACGACCTAGTCAGGGTAAACAAGTCAAAACAGATTTAAAGAGGAAAAATAAAAGTAAATACCCTCAATTATTTACTTACACGCATAAAAAAAGATGTCCCACCCTGGCCGGTGTGGCTCAATGGTAGAGTGACAGGTTCAACTCCTTGTCAAGGGCATTACCTGGTTGCAGGTTCGTTCCTCAGCCCCAGTACTGGCACATGCAAGAGGCAACCCATGGATGTGTCTCTCTCACATTGATATTTCTCTCTCTCTTCCCCCTCCTTCCACTCTCTCTAAAAATCAATCCTTACCCATGGATATTTTTTCCATTAAGAAAAAAAAAAGATATCCCTATAACCTAGCCTATAAACTCATAAAAATTACCTTTTTCCTGGGAAAGCTTTTCCTCCTGCCGTTGGTGGTGAGGTTTGTAAGGTGCTGCCCCCTGACTGAGTTCTTCAGCCACATGACTATCCAGAAAAGATAAGGAAGCATCTACCTATATTAAATTGAAGCAAAAATCAGGAATTAAAAAATTTGCCCTAAAACAGTAGATTGTATGTTCACATAGGTACTTTCAGCCCATATATCCTAAAAACATTTTTTAGGTGAAAAGCAGAGTTTCAATTCCAAAAGTACTACCTAACTCTGTAGCTTTCTGAAACATCTATAATCAAATCACTCAGCTAAGTCATTTCCAATTATTACTGAGTTTCACTGCACCAAGGAATACATTTTTGAGCATCCAATATATTAGGGCATCATGTTTGCTCCTATGATAGAGACAAAAGAAGACACAGTTCCTGCCCTCATGAGACTTGTAACCTACCAGAGGAGAAGAGACATCATATACTAAAGCTATAATCTGTATTAGTTTCCAGCTGTTGAGGGATAAAAACAAGGTGCTGACAACACTCGTTCCTTCTGGAGGCTCCAGGGGAGAATAAGTTCCTTATCTCTTTCAGCTTCTAGAGGACTGCTAGCATTCCTTGGCTGTGGCCACATCCCTCTGATCTGTTTCTATAGCTACTCTGCCTTCTCTACACTGAACTCTTGCCTCACTTTTCTAAGGGCCCTTGTGATTATCTCATGCCTACTTGGACAATCCAGGATAATGCCCCCATCAAAAAATTCTTATCTTAATCACATCTACAAAGTCCCTTTTACCATGTAAGGTACATACACACAGGTTCCAGAGATTGAGATGTGACCCTCTTGGCGAGCTATTATTCGGCCTCCCACAGTGCCTTTGATTTAACTATCCTATTCTTTTCTACCTGAAAATGCTTTTTCAAAAATCTATGGAAAATTACTTAACTAATTTCAACAGGAATAGAAAAGTACTAGAGAATGATTAAGTGGGGGGGGGGGGGGAACAAGAGATGGAGAATGAGTAAGGGGAAAAGGAGAAGAGAAAAAGTAAGAAGAGAAAGAAAAATGAGATATACACAAGAGGATAGTAGTGATAACCCCAGAAATCAGAATAGCTTCTCCTGATTTAGCCAAACGTATGCAAACAACTCAGATAATTTAGAACAGCAAGTAATTCTCAAACATTTAAGTGGCTTGTCACACTCTGAATTTGGAAAGGTTTAGTTTCACTAAGATTCTTGGAGAAAAGAGGAAGTGTGGTTATTTCCTAGTTTAATTTTATATGCAGCATATTTATTGATCATCTCAATGAACGTCTCTGAAATGTCTACCAAATGTTAAAGCAAGGCCTTTGCCTTTGAGGACCTATTGAGAGAATGAAGGAACAAAGCTTCAAAATTAATACAAGTCATGAAAATCTGATTCAGAATTAGTGGGAATACCACCCATCCTCTCTATCAACTATATGACATCTAACATATAAAAATTTGAGCAAATCTGGTTTCCTTTTGGAAGTTTTCTGATTTACACCAATCTGAGGGACAGACTGAGTGCATTGGGTTAAAAGGGGTGGTAGCTAAAAGGAGGTGGGAGAAAGAAAGGTTGGTGGTCAGATTCCAAAGTGGTAAAGAATTTAGACAGTAGATGGACAAAATAAAATGGAGAACTATCTTTTACATTCTCAAAGAAAAGAGAGGAATAATAAAACAACATATTAGAGTTCAAAGGGGATAAAAATTCTTGAATTATTATATATTCAAAGAGATTGTCAGAGCAGAAATCCTTCATTGAAGTTCTCCAGAAGAGACACTCTTCAATTCCTGACTTAGGATCACTACTGCACAGAAGCTCTCAAATTCTCTTCTACTAATGAGAGAAAAATTCCAACCTACAGAAACTATATTTTGATACATTTCTGACATATCACAAATGCAAAAATTATTGTTTAAAGATTATGCAATTTTTAAAAAGGTAGAACACAGATGTCTTACCACCATGTCTTCACAACTCTTATTAACTGGAAGCAAACTCTTCATAAGTTCTGCATTCTCATGCAAATGCTTTAGTTCAAATGCATGCTGTCTCAGACAAGTATCCAAAGAAACCGTAAATTCCTGGATTAATCTCTCAACAATGTTAGAAGAGTGTGCCTGAGGTGTCAACTTGGTCACGGCAGCAATTAGCCAGGCTTTTGTTTCTGAAGAAATGGAATCATTCATAAGTAACTTGTAGAGCTTGGTTATAACTTCTCCTGGCGTTTCCTTATCTAAGAGGTAGGAATACTCCCCTAATACCTATGAGTAAAACAAGGAGATGTTTATATACAAATATCAAGTTATACAGCAAACTATACTTGGAAATCTAAACCAAGTGCCTATTGCTGAAGTGAATCTAATCTAGATTAAACATATTCTCATGGTAAAAAATATATTAGATAAAGATCAAATTGCACATATTAGTTCAAAATTATACCAAGAATTGGAACTTAATACAAAAATGTTTTCTACATCTTGATCATTAACAATATACAAAACAGACACCTTTACCAGTTAGCCTTCTTCTGAACTTCCAGGTTTGGCTGTTGGTTTTTACCAGCATTTTCACATTCTGTTATTACTTTCCAATAAAGTATTTAAATGAGCGGTTCTCACATGCTAGCATGCATAAGAGTCACCTGAAGTGTTTCATTAAAATATAGATTTCTAGGTTCTGACCACAGATATATTAAAAGAGATTATCAAAGAGTACAAATCCCTTCACTGCAGTTCTCTAGAAGAGACACTCTTCAATCCTGATTAGGATCACTACTGAACCAAAGCTCTCAAATTCTCTCTCAGACTAATGTGAGAAAAATTCCAACCTACAGAAACTACAGCATGCCTGCGGTGATAATCTGCACTGCACATTTTGAACAAGCATCAGCTGATTCTGATGAAGATGACCCACAGAACTTTGAAGAACAGTGATCTATGTTACATATCATTTTTCTTACATCTAACTTATCCAGGAGATATATAATCCTACTCGTCTAAACATCACTAATAAACTGATAACTCATGGAGTGTGAGACCTTTCCTAAATAGTATTTATTAAGTATTTTCATGTCTTTGGTGTAATATTGGCACTAGCAAGAAAAAAAAGGGAGGTGAGGTGACAGTCAAGGGAAGATGTATCGCTTAGTAACAAGAAGAGGAGGAAAAAGAAATACGACTCATTGTCCTAGCCGGTTTGGCTCAGTGGATAGAACGTCAGCCTGTGGACTGAAAGGTCCTGGGTGCCATTCCGGTCAAGGGCACATGCCTGGGTTGCAGGCTCGATCCCCAGTAGGGGGAGTGTAGGAGGCAGCCAATCAATGGTTCTCTCTCATCATTGATGTTTCTACCTCTCTCTCCCTCTCTCTTACTCTCTGAAATCAAAAATATTTTTTAAAAAGAAATACGACTCATTAAGTTCAATCCTTAAATAGTAAGATAATTTTTGAGTGCTTTAATAAACGTAGTTACCTCTCTAGAAGAGCAGGTAGCCTAAATCCCAGTTCAAAAATTGGTGAATTTATATTTCTAGGAAGATGGAGTAGAAGCATTTTTCCCCTATTCTTCCCATGAAATACACCTAAAAATCCTTGATGTTATAAATAAAACACATGTAAAAAGACTCTGAAAGGTGAAGAAAAGGCAAATCGCTAAGGACCTTGGGATCTAAGGAACAATACAGTGAGTTATCTGTTGCCTCATACACCCCAGACTGGATACTGGAGAACTAACAACCTGGAAACACCAATGGGCTCAAACAAAAAAGTCCCAGGAAAAGCCTGCCCTCTAGCCAAATAGCCAGGAAGACAAAAAGCTTGGACTCCAGCTAAGCACCACACAGAAAAAAACTGCAGCCCTACCCGTACCAGCAGAGGCAGAGAGAAGGGCCAGACTTCAACCCCTGCCAGGCTGTAAGAGGCACAACTCCCCCACAAGGATGGTGACCGAGAAGGCCGAGTGGGGGGTCAGGACTTGCATCCCACCAAGCTGCAGAGGCCCACTCTATGGCAGTGTCCATGAAGGCCCCACAGGAAGCCTACATCACCTCCACCCAGGTATAAAGAGGTGCCCTTCCCTTCTCTGCTGGGGGTGCGAAGCCTGTGGAGAGTCAGCACTTTCCCCATTGCTCAGCAATAACAAGGCCACCCCTTCACAGCGTCAGCAGAGGCCACTTGTTTAATCTTAACACCCTTGTCGCAACACCATCTCCAAAAGAATTTAGTCATCATTTATGGAACACACCACCCAACAGCAGCAGAATGCCCATTCTTTTCAGGCACCCAGAGAACATAGCACCACCCAGACAATATCACAGGCCGTAAAACAAACCTCAACAAATTTAAAAGGAACTGAAATCACACAGTATTTTCTCTGACAATAGAATCAAACTAGAAATCAGTAACAGAAAAGATAACAGGAAATTTTCCAAACACTTAAAAATAAACAACTCTCTTCTACACAATCTTTCCAGAAAATAGAAATGAACACCCTCAACTCATTTTATGAAGCCAGTATTACCTTGATACCAAAACCAAACAGAGAAGAAATGTGAAAACTACAGACCAATATCCCTCATGAACAGAAATGAAAAAATTCTTAATGTTTCAAGAAATCTACAAAAACAATTCGAGATTGCCAGGCAACAAACATATAGAAACCGAAATTAAAAATACATTTACTACTTCTCTAAAGAAAATGAATTACTTAAGTATAAATCTAACAAAACATGTACAGGATTTATATACTGTAGAAATAAAAACACTCTAAATATATGGAATGTAAATAAATAAATAAATAATAAATAAATAAATAAAATTACATGTCATGTTCATGGAGAAAAAAACAAATGGCCACCAAATATAATAACCAATTTAGCATAAGGATTATCAATGCTAAAAGCACTGGTGAAAGAGAGCTGAGGAAAAGATGTTCACAGAGCCTCACAGAATCACCTCACAGATTAGTTATAAATTACTAAAGAGAAAGCACTCCTTGACAATGGAGAGATCTAAAGGTCAATGTCTTCACCAAACAAACTTACAATCACCGATAACTGAAGGAATTGAAATTATATGCATCCTGATATGATGCAGTAGAAAGTACATATGATTGCCAATGTAGAAGTCTTGCTAAAAATGTTTAACAGAACCAGAAATAATCAGAGAAATTCAGAAATGTTGGACATTCTACAACTCAATAGTATTCATCGAAAAAAATCAATGTCAGGAAAACAAAAAGAAACTGAGGCTCATTATAAAATTCTTAAAAGGCTAAAAGGATATAAATAAATAGAATTTGCAAACCCTTACTGGATCTAGGATTGGGAAGAGCAGAAAAACAGCCTTAAGGAGACTTATTTTTTTTTGACAACTGAATAAATCTGAATATAAACTGTATCTTAGGTGATATTAATAAATTAATATTTCTTAGGTATAATAATGGTTTTATCATTATCTAGAATAATGTCATTCTTACGAGATTCATGTTCAATTTTTTATGGGTCAAGTGTCATTATGTCTGCAACTCAATTTTAAATGGTCCAGTAAAACAAACTGTATAGAGATAGATCTAGATATAGATATAGGTGTTGATAGAATAAAGCGAAGATGATTAAAAATAATAACTGGGATGCCCAGCCAGTGTGGCTCAGTGGATGAGCATCAACCCATGAACCAGGAGGTCATAATTCAATTCCCTGTCAGGGCAAATGCCTGGGTTTCAGGTTCAATCCCCAGTAGGGATCGTGCAGGAGGCAGCTGATCAATGATTCTCTCTCATTGCTGATGTTTCTATCCCCCTCTCTCTTCTTCTCTCTGAAATCAATCATTTTAAAAAATAAAATAATAGCCGAAACCGGTTTGGCTCAGTGGATGGAGCGTCGGCCTGCGGAATGAGAGGTCCCGGGTTCGATTCCGGTCAGGGGCATGTTACCTGGGTTGCGGGCACATCCCATAATAATAACTGGGAATCTAGAAAAAAAGTATAGTGGTACTTGTTATTACTAGTCTTTCAACTTTCCCACAGATAAGAAAATTAAAATTCTTAAATAAAAGTCTAGATAAAATTTAAGTTAACATGCTAAGTTTTGGCAAAACTATAAAATATTAAAATGTGCATATCCTATGACCCAAAAGTTGCACTTCTCCAAATCTCCCCTATAAACACTTACCCACATGCATAGAAGGAATACACAAAGATGACGGGATATATGTGATTGTATATGATTAAATTACATAAAATTGTGACTTTCATCTTACAAAGAGATGATTTCCTTTGCTGGCTTTCATGAAGCAAACAGTCATGTTGGGAAGCTCACATGGCAGGAAACTAAAGGTCATTCTAGGAGCCTACAATTGACAGTATAAACCTCAAACCCTCAGTTTTACAGCCGAAGAAACTGATTTCTGAGCTTGGAAGTGGACTCTTTACCAGTCAAATGTCAGATGTGACAGGAGCCCCAGCCAATACCTTGACTGTAACCCTAAGAGGCCCTAAGCAGAGATCCAGCTAAGCCATGCCTATACTCCTAACCCACAGAAACTATGAGATAACAGATGTATGTTGTTTTAAGCATTAAGTCTGTGGTAACATTATTTTACAGCCATTGTTAACTAATATGTCATCATTACATAAGTATTCACACATTCAAATATAGATTCACAAAGGAAACACAACAAATGTGTTGTAGACAGAGAAATCTAAACAAATACCCATATTTAAAAGACTAGACATGTGAGATAGCGGGGAGAATGAGCAGATAAGTAAATAGTTAAGTGACAGAAGGTAGCTGGCCACTGGGGAGAGAGGGGGGAATTGACAGCTGAAGGAGTTAGCTGAGTAAAACTGAATGATTTCTGAAGGAAATATATTGTTAGCATTTGCTTTTATAAAAATATAATTTTATAAACATTTATGATTGAATGTACTTTGCTCACCCAACTCATAACTTGAAGAAATCTCTGTGGATAGAACACATTTTCCACATCTAGTAAAGTGAGATAAGACTGAACTGCATAAAGTCTTAATTGTTGATCTTCTGTTTCATCATCAAAACCTACCAAGAAATTGATACATCATTTTAATTTTCATTAAACTCTAAGGGCTCTGTAGTAAAAACCTTTAATTTAAAAGTCTTTACAGAATGCAATTGTTTACTAACCTTCCGCTAGCAGTCTCAGGAAGTTATTGGGAATATCAGGATTCATCACATCTCCTCCTACTGAAAACACAGCATTCATTGTCTGAATAAACCATGCATTATCAGGAGCATATGTGTCCACAGTGTTAAGAACAAGTACACTTCAAATGCCACTTATTAAAACTATATTTCTGCATCAACCTTTTAAAAACAACCAATTCATCCTAGTTTGGCATTTTTACCTTTAATCTCTGCCAATAAATTGTTCTATATTCCAGTTTTATGTAAAATAGGTGCTCAATAAATCTTATTTAATAAACTTTAAAAACTAGTTCATGTTGCTTTACCTAGCACTCTGCCTTGTACATAACAGGCATCCAATAAATAAATGTAAAGTAATTGAAAGAAATGTTACAGCGAATTACGGACAATACATAATGGAAAATAATATACACTCCAAAGAGACTGAATGTTGTGATGTATCTACTTGAACAAGTTGTTTAACCTCCTATCTAATCTGCTTCTCTTCAGTTCTAACATTTTATCATTTTGCTGGCCAAACCTAGAGCACTGGCTAGGATTTAAGCAATTTCCAAAATAATTTAATTAACATTATTCATTCATTCTTCCTTAGCTTTAACAACAGACATCTTAAAGAGAATGCAATCCTAAGAGGCCCTAAGCAGAGAATCCAGCTAAGCCATGCCTATACTCCTGACCCACAGAAACTATGAGATAATAAATTTATGTTGTCTTTTTTTAAAAAAATATATATTTTATTGATTTTTTACAGAGAGGAAGGGAGAGGGATAGAGAGTTAGAAACATCAATGAGAGAGAAACATTGATCAGCTGCTTCCTGCACACCCCCTATTGGAGATGTGCCCGCAACCAAGGTACATGCCCTTGACTGGAATCAAACCTGGGACCCTTTAGTCCGCAGGCCAACACTCTATACACTGAGCCAAACCAGTCAGGGCAATTTATGTTGTCTTAAGCATTAAGTCTTGACCAGTAGAAGTTCCTCTGACTTTTAAAAAACTAATGTGAAGAAAAGTAACATGTGAATGGAGTTCCCAACTGCTTTATTATGACAATTTCTAATATAAACAATACAGGGGTGAGCAAAAGTAGATTTACAGTTGTAAGTATGCAAAACAGAGTATTATTATTCATTAATTATTGTATTATTTTCCATACAATGTAAACCTACTTTTGCCAACCCCTGCAGTTGGATAAATGTTAGCATCCTGATCCCTCCACCCAACCCACACACCCCTAAAAACAACAACAAGAACTTTTACTCAGAAAATAAGCTGAGCAGGAAGTAAAGTCAAAGACAAGGAGGGACTGATAGAGAAATCAGGCAGAGGTTCCTGTATCTTCTTGCTCATAATACTGACCAACTGAATGAAAAGAGCCAGAAAAAAAGCCATCCCCTAAGAAGTCTACACAAATCCCTATTTTTGACCAGAGAGGCTTAAATATCAGGAATGGAAATTATTGCTGGGTCTCTGAACTCAACTTGCAAGTGAACATGTCCATAGCAATCATTTTAAACCACTGTGTAACTAAAGGCATTGTATGATTATGGTTCAAACAAAGGATATTTTTCAGCCAGCTCAGCTATTTTGCCAACCAAATTGACGATAATATACTCTTCTTTGCTCTGATGTAAATATTCAAGCATTTTCTGGACAATCACTGTTATATTCTGTGCATTAGTAATTCTGTAAAGAAGTTCCAGTGTCTATTTAAGGAAGAGAAATAAAAATAGTATTAAAAACTATGCATGATAACACCAATAAATACAGTAACATATGTTTATAACATGGTTGATTCTTCCACTTTTATGTAGATCTCCTGAGCAGGCCATTTAATAGGTGTGCAAAAAATGCACAGAACTTAATAATGGTAACTATTAGAAATAAATAGAACTTAAGAAAAATAAAATGACTGTTAAAAAAATGAATTATGGCCCTAGCTGGTTTGGTTCAGTGGCTAGAGCATTGGCCCACGGACTGAAGGGTCTCAGGTTCAATTCCAGTCAAGGGCACGTACCTCAGTTGCAGGCTTGATCCCTGGTCTGGGACGGGATGTGTGTGGGAGGCAACCAATTGATGTGTCTCTCTCACATAGATATTTCTCTCTCTTTCTCTTTCTCTCTCCTCCTCCCTCCCTTCCACTCTCTTTCTAAGGATCAATGAAAAAAATATCCTCGGGTAAGGATAAATACATAAATAATAAGAATAGTTTTGTTTCAAACACAGTACCTTTTAAAATTAATAATATTTTTTTTAAATTACAATTGCTTAATGCAATACAATGTTCTCTCAATAACTATTTTTAACTCATTGCTTTTAAGTGACTTACAAGTTTAGTGGCTCTTTTTATCTTTGGTACTTTTAAAATCAGAAATTCTCTACATGAGAATTAACAGAAATATTTATATAGACACCCAAGCAATTTTATAAAAGGAAAAAGTTGAAGAAAATTAAGCAAATAATACACCTTTCCTTCCAAGAAGTTAACATCATTTTAGGAATGTTTCACACATTCCTACATATGTAATAGGGAATGCATTATCCCATTTTACAAATATTATAGAGAACAATGAAAGATTATTAATCATGATATAATATATCTTAAAATTGTACTAATAAAAAAACTGGGAATAAAATGCAGGTCTCCTATTGATATAATATCTTGGACCAAAAAGATGTTAATGAATCTATACAGGTAATTGGACCTAATTTCTCCAACTCATAATTTAAAATCATTCCTGTGGATACTAACACAAGAAGTTTTTAGAAAAGTTCCTTAAATTTAGCAGAAAGAATAAAATGCTCTCAAAAGTTAAAATACATACACACACACACACACACACACACACACACTGCCCACCACTTTAATTTCTCTCCATAATGGTAACAAAAAGTTTTAAAATTGTAATACTTTCACATACATAATTCAAAATATCAGTTTACCTCTCTTTTAATAATGGGATCAGGATGGTCTAAGCATTCAATTATTGTCATCTGGTGTTGAAGAGCCAGAGTGGGATCCTGTTGGATAACATAGGTAAGAGCCTTCAGTCCTAAAAGCAAAAATCGCATTATATGAAGTGACTTGCAACAAATACCCAGCAAATTTCAAAAGCTCTCTTTGTAATTTTTGTGAAAAGAACCAATCATCTTACCTAAATATTTGAGATTTATTTTAGGTGACAGGACAAATTTTCCAATGCACTTGGCAGCCTTCTCAAGTAATTCTGATTTGGGATAAACAGAATAGACTGTATGCACACATTCAAACAGAATGGCTAGAGAAAGAAAACATAAAAATGTCAGGGATCATGTTAAGGCATAATGAAAGAAAATATTTGTGTGGAACTCATAACAAAGCAAACTAATTAGAAGGCCAGTTGTAGTCAAAAATCTTTTTGGAAAATTTTCAAAGATATAAACGTTACTGTTTTCAGACTTACACAGTTTTTAAGATTATGTTAACAGAGTACAATTTAAAGAGAATTATGTATAGTAACAGATAAAAATAATGCATTCATTCATGCAACAACTATTTACTGAACACCCCTATGCGCCAGACATTGTTCTAGTAGTACGGATACAGCAGTGAACAGAACAGAAAAAACCCTTCCCTCAGGGAGCTCACAGTCCAATGACACATAGGTAACGTTTTCATTGTTCCTATATAAATAGATATTTCTATTTGAATGCTTTAAAATAATTTATTAAAATAATTTACTTATTTAAAATAATTTCTTTTCAGGCAGTTTCTACCACTTCTATACAAAAACTCTATATGTGATTTATTTCAATATAATCATTTTGGGATACTTTAGCATTTATTTCAAAGTAGAGTCGCTGCTCAAAAATCTTCAAATCACTTCTTTAAAAATTAACCACAAAGAACATAAAACAATCTATTGAACACTTTGATAGTGTTCAATATGATTTCCTTATATAGTCAAAGATCTGATAACTATGACAGGTGATCAAAGTGACACTAACATTTTTTTCAAACTCTTTTAAAGAGCATTAGTTGTGGGGCTGGAGCTTTGCCACGGTAAAGAAGAATCAAGTAGGCACCACTAAGTCCTGCATGGCCTATTGCAATCATAGCATGAGAAGTGAGACAGATTCTGCAGCCTTAAAAACAGTTCTAATGCAAGTTGAAGCATATCAAGTGTCCCTGACAGAATCACTCCTTCTCTATTTCCAAAAGTTTAAAACATAACAATCGGACACTTTTTTGCATGCATGATAGATTCTGAATATTCAACTAGCTATTTTTTATACTTGCCTATCAATTGAGGCACACATAAATACTGTGTAAAAAACTTTATATAAACCCTTTCTATAGAAGGAGAAATCAGAAATATAAAGTGCTAATTAAGAAGAAAACTGACTTTAAAAAAATAAAAAGAAGGGAACTGACTTGCCCTGGCCAGGTGGCTCGGCTGGTTGGAGTGTCGTCCCAAACACCAAAAAGATCGCGGGTTCAATTCTGGGTAAGGGCACATACCTAGGTTGCGGGTTCAGTCCCAGATCGGGCTGCATAGGAGAAGCAACCAATCAATGTTTCTCTCTCACACTGATGCCTGTCTCTATCTCTGTCTCTCCCCCCCTCTCTAAAATCAATAAAAATATTCTCAGGTAAGGATAAAAAAAAAAAAAACAGGAGGAAAAAAAGGTCAAACTTTTTTTTCTTTAATTAAAGAAAAACCTACAAAGTAAGTTAACTTAAAAAGATACTTTACATAGTCGGATGCCTCACTATAAAATGTCTACTCTGTGCTATGAAAAAGTGGACTTTACAACTTTATGAACTACAGAGTCTTAACCAGCTACCCTCAGCCTATTTTTGTAAGCCTGTGAACTAAGAATGTTTTTTACATTTTTTAATTGAGACATAATTGACATATAACATTATATTACTTTCAAGTGTATAATTACACTTTATTTTTAATATTTTTATTTATTTCAGAGAGGAAGGGAGAGGGAGAGAGAGAAAAACATCAATGATGAGAGAGAAACATCACTGATCGGTTGCCTCCCGCACACCCCACACTGGGGATCAAGCCTGCAACCCAGGTATGTGCCTTGACAGGGAATCAAACTGTGACCTCCTGGTTCATAGGTCGACGTTCAACCATTGAGCCATTCCAGCCTGGCTCTAATTACACTTTTAAAGGTTGTAAAAAAAAACAACACACACACACACAAAGGAAAATATGTGACAGAAACGTATGTGACTTATGAAGCCTAAAATATTTAACAAACCCTGAACTAATAATGTGACAGCCCTGAGCAAGATTAAAAATGATGATGCTCTGCCCTGACTGGTTTGGCTCAGTGGATAGAGCATTGGCCTGTGGACTGAAAGGTCCCAGGTTCGATTCCGGTCAAGGGCATGTACCTTGGTTGCGGGCACATCCCCAGTAGGGGGTGTGCAGGAGGCAGCAGATCCATGTTTCTCTCTCATCGATGTTTCTAACTCTCTATCTCTCTCCCTTCTTCTCTGTAAAAAATCAATAAAATATTTTTTTTTAAATGATGATGCTCCATTTTCTATCATAATTGGCATTTCTTCTTATTGGATTCCTGCCATTCAGAACTCTATTTTACTACAAAAACTTCTTGTTACTCATCTGAAATCTAAACTTTTATATATAGATGCTCATAGGATTTCTAGAAAGCTAGTATAGGTAAAATTAATAATTCAAAAACTGCATTTACTAGTCAACTTAGGTGTAAATGAGCTGAAAATGAATAGGTGTTTAATTATTTTCCCACCTAGAAGTAAGTCCTTTTATTCTCCAACTCTACAAAATCTGAATATCCTATATAATAGTAGAGGAATATGCTAATTAGCCCAGACGCCTTAGCAGTCACGACCAGTCAGGCGCTTAATAGTCACAACTGGTCAGGCATGGCCCGGGAGTGGCCCCTGGCAGAAGTGGCCACCGGTGGGGGCGCGCATGGGCCTGCAGCACCACCCAGCCCAAAGGCCGCCCGGCCAGGGGTCGTGAGCAGGCACACTGCGCTGCCTGGCCCGGGAGCGGCCCTTGGCGGAAGCGGCCACCAGCGGGGGCGTGTGCAGGCCCACGGCACCGCCCAGCCCGGAGGCCGCCGGGCCAGAGGTCCACCGGTCCCAGATTGTGAGAGGAATGTCCGACTGCCGGTTTAGGCCCGATCCCGCAGGGCAGTTGGACATCCCCAGAAGGGTCCAAGATTGGAAAGGGTGCACACTGGGATGAGGGACACACCACCACCCCGGGTGCATGAATTTCGTGCACTGGGCCACTAGTAAGTTCATAAAAATGGTCTTCTTTCCACAATGGTTAAGATAAATGTGCTTCTGAAGATTTCTAAACATAAAAAACATATCTTGGAGCTTTATTTACTCTTTATTTACCCAGGTCCTAACCAAAATATCATCAAGTGAAAATTACCAAATTAAAAATTAATAGCTTTCTAACATCCATGACATTGTGAATTTATCATAGATATGTTGGGTTGGAATATGCACAACATTTGAAGAAGTTCTACTGGTACCTTATCCTTCAGATGACGTTACTTTCTTTTTAATTAAGTTATGTCTCTGTCTACTGACACCACTCTGGCAGGGAGATGGGGTACCACCCAATGGAGCCCAGGTTTTCCACGCTGCCTCTATGACACTTTCAGAGGAGGGAATCGTGATACATTCTGGGTGGGAGGTGCGAGTAGCTGCTAACACTACCCTGCCTGGGAGAGGAAGGGGTACTTCATTACTGCTCCCTATGTTGCCTCCACTGACATTGAGGGGGTGGCCTTCACTAGCTTCCTCTAACACCAGCCCAGCAAAGGGAGGGAGGGGTACCTTGCTCCTCCCTACTCCTGGATAAAGCAAAATTCAGGCTTCCCACATTATCTCCACTGATAATGAAGAGGGGTGCCCCCATTAACATCTGGCAGAAATGAAATTCCTACTCCACTCCTGGGCTTCCCTGCCACCAGCCCAGTGGGAGGATTGGGGCAACTCCTTACACCTGGTGAGGGTGGAAATCTCAGCTCTCCTCTAAGCCTTTGCTGCAGTTGGTGGACCCACAGTTTTCCTGTGTGGTGCTTGGTTAGGATAGAGGGGCTATTCCAGGGGTGGGCAAACTTTTTGACTCGAGGGCCACAATGGGTTCTTAAACTGGACCAGAGGGCCGGAACAAAAGCATGGATGGAGTGTTTGTGTGAACTAATATAAATTCAAAGTAAACATCATTACATAAAAGGGTACGGTCTTTTTTTTTTTTAGTTTTATTCATTTCAAACGGGCCGGATCCGGCCCGTGGGCCTTAGTTTGCCCACGGCTGGGCTATTCTCTAAATGTTTCTATCTCGCTAGCTTGTCCTTTTCTTCTTGGGGTGTTCTGTCTGCACCTGTTGGCATTTCCAGGTTGCTGTCTGGGGTATGGGAGGCAAAAAGAAAACCTAATACTCACCATGGTGTTATTCCTTGTGTACCAAGGTCCCTAACCTGTCTACCTTCATTTCTCCACCTTTCAGAGTCTTATGTTTATTTTACATATGATGTCCAGGGTTTGTAGGTATACTTATGGTGAAAAACAGGGAAAGGTACTTATATCTACTCCTGATGGTTCTGTATCTTGTACTCCATTTTATATAATTCTCCCAATTTACCAGTCTACTAAAAATGTCATTCTCATCTTATCAGTACCCTGCCCAAAAATCTTCCATACCTCCAGATTTACTAGTCCAAACTCATTTGGCTACCATGAAGAGACCTCCACAACATGGCCTTTCCCCTGCTCCCACAATGAGCTGTCCATTCAGGTTAGCAAGTCAGTGTTCCCTGAAAGTGTATTAAATATCTCCAGTTCTGCACCATTTCTCATGTTCCTTCTTCCTAGAATTCCCTTCAACATCCCTCTGGCTACCTAAATCCTACCTACCTTTCAGGGTCCTATCTATAATAATAAAAGCGTAATATGCCAATTAGACCAGACGTCCTTCCTTCCAAAGCTGCAGCAGGCGGGAGCCGCAGCAGAGGTGGCAAGAGGCCCCCAGCCGCGGCCATGACAGGCGGGGGCTGGGGCCAAGGCCCTTGCAGGAATTATGTGCAAAAGGCCTCTAGTTACATTAATAAAGCCCCATGATCTCCATCACCTCTGAACTCTTGCAATACTGACTCCCAGTACCATCCCTCTACATTCTGTCTTATACTGGTATTATGCTTTCATAAGTAAGTTATATCTTCCATTATTTATAATAATGGAACTTTCACAAAAATATGGTTTAGAAAATATCAAGACTGAAACTCAAACAGATAACCAATAAAAGTAAAATAACTTCCTCTTCCTTACATTCAGTTAAAACATATTACTCATTGATCAATCCAGTGCCAGATACTGGGATATGCTGAAGAGTAAGACAGACACAGTCCCTTCCCTTATGAAGTTTATAATTTAAAATTCACATTCTTAAGCAATCAAATATTTATATTAGAATTACTAGAGAGTACTATTGATAAAACCCATGTTAGCTATAAACTATATTAATATAAATATGGAATAAAAAGCATAATGATAGAAATAAACAAAACAACCGAAACCGTAAGGTTTCTGTAGAAGGTGATATGCTGGACTGACAGCCTACAAAGAAGCAAACTGTTGGTGTTGGCTGGTTCCAGCAATCTTAATAAGAGAAGGGTGTCCCGCCCTAGCCGGTTTGGCTCAGTGGATAGAGCTTCGGTCTGAGGACACAAGGGTCCCAGGTTCGATTCCGGTCGAGAGCACGTGCCTTGGTTGCGGGCACATGCCCAGTGGGGAGTATGCAGGAGGCAGCTGATTGATGTTTCTCTCTCATCGATGTTTCTAGCTCTCTATCCCTCTCCCTTCTTCTCTGTAAAAAATCAATAAAATATATTTTTTTTTAAAAAGAGAAGGGTGTCCCAGTGGAAAACATTAAAAAATATCTCATCAGGTATACAGTATTCTCCAAATCAAAAGGAACAGGTAATAGCGGTTATCTCCAGAAAGGGGAACTGGGTGGTGGGTGATAAGGATTGAAGGGACACTTACTGTTCACTGAATACCCTTTTGTACTTTTTGAATTTTGAACCATGTGCATATATTACCTATTCAAAAAAATAAAAACATTAAGCTGAAATGCGATTATTAAAAAAATGGGCTTTCTTCAAGAAAAATAAATTCTTTTTTTTTTTAAACTTTTTTTTAATATATTTTTTTATTGATTTTTTACAGAGAGGAAAGGAGAGAGATAGAGAGTCAGAAACATCAATGAGAGAGAAACATCGATCAGCTGCCTCCTGCACATCTCCTACTGGGGATGTGCCCGCAACCTAGGTACATGCCCTTGACCGGAATCGAACCCGGGACCTTTCAGTCCGCAGGCCGACACTCTATTCACTGAGCAAAATAAATTCTTAACTAATTTTAAACAGAATTCCTGGAGAGCCTTTAAAACTTTTACCCTAGACAATGACTGATTATATCTCAGGAAAGCTTTTTAACTTCCTTTAGCTGCCTGAAAAGACTCTGACACTTCTCTGGATCTTCTGACAGCTCCTAGCCAAACCACCTGCCTCGGTAAGGGTCATCCTTACCTCTGGGCCCTTCGTCTTCTCATTACATAGCAGGATCCTGGATCCGTGGTCGGCAAACTGCGGCTCTCGAGCCACATGCGGCTCTTTGGCCCCTTGAGTGTGGCTCTTCCTAAGCCTTAGGAGTACTCTAATTAAGTCAATAACAATGTACCTACCTATATAGTTTAAGTTTAAAAAATTTGGCTCTCAAAAGAAATTTCAATCGTTGTACTGTTGATATTTGGCTCTGTTGACTAATGAGTTTGCCGACCACTGTAATGTCAACTGTTCATTATACTATATACTCATAAGTGCAGGGGCTGTGTCTACCTTATTCTTCCTTTAATCTCCCATACTGAGCATGGAGAAATATAAGTCAATTAATTCTTTCCTCAATCTGTACCTAGTTTACAAATCAAGGTTTTGTTTTGTTTTGTTTTGTAGGCATTCAATAAATACAGGTTGAACAAATGAATAAACCACTCTTACTGACTTTAATCACCATTTATACATGCAAAACCTAACTCTATCCTCTTAAATTTACTATCCCAATTCACTACCACTTGCATTATTTTTCCTGCATGAGTCTTACGCACGCAAACCTTTCTCCTTATTCCTACTGCATCTTTGTCAATCTTTTACTTCAATTAAACTAGTTCAATTTCTGCCCTCTACCCTACACTTCTATAACCATTATTCTTAAAGATCAACAGTTTATCATTGTCTGAAAGAAAGAGCAACACTCTTCATCCCCATCTTCATGGTACTTCACCAGATTAAGAAATGACTTCTCATTTGAGTTAATACCTCTCAATGCCTCTCTGCTACCCTTCTGCATGGCATGCAAATTCAAACTGTTTCATATCTATCTTTTAAATATCCCAATTTCTTCACCCAGCTTTCTCACATTGATCAATAGAGAACTAATAGTTCCTCCCTCTGGCTATTACGATTGGAAGTGTTTTTGGTTACCTTTCTGAGTTCTCCCCCCTTCTCCCCTCAAACTTGTCTCCTATCACTAAATTACCTTTTCAGATTACATAAAATATATATAAAGAGCTACTGTCTCTTCACAAAATAGTGTTATTATTCCATACATATACACACACACACACACACACATATATATTATCTATATCCTACTCATACTTCAGTTGTGTTCTTAAATATCACTTTTTCATAAAAACTTTCCCTGTTCTCCCCCTCACCTAAGACTAGCTGCTGTATTCTCCCACAGCACCCTGTAATTCTCCTTTATAACATTTACAGCACCTGGCCCTTTCTAGTAAGTGAGCTAAATGATAACACTGTTTTATTCACAGCTGTATTCCAAATATCTTGCACAAGGCCTGACAAAATACAGAAATTTTAAAAATATTTCACAACTAGTTGACTAATTGATGTATTTAAGAACTTTCCTATTAAATATAGAACAGGTCTACTAAGTTGATGAGTATTTTCAATAAAAAGATAATTTCTCTTAAAAAATAAAGTCTTAAAAGAGAGACAAATATAAAAATGAATTTAGGTCAACATTTAAAATAATGCCATAGCCCTAGCCAGTTTGGCTCAGTGGATAGGGTGTCGGCCTGCAGACTGAAGGATCCCGGGTTTGATTCCAGCCAAGGGCACATGCCCGGGTTGTGGGCTCGATCCCCAGTGGGGGGCGTGCGGGGAGCAGCCGATCAATGATTCTCTCTCTCATCATACTTCAATCTCTCTCTCTCTCCCTCTCCCTTCTTGTCTGAAATCAATAAAGATATATTTAAAAAATAATAATAATGCCATAATTTCAAATAATTTCCACTAGTTATTCAATGCTTCCATTGAAAAATAATAACCCACCCGGCTAGTGTTGCTCAGTGGTTGAGCATCGACCTATGAACCAGGAGGTCACAGTTTGATTCCCAGTCAGGGCGCATGCCCGAGTTGCGAGCTCAATCCTCAGTGTGGGGCATGCAGGAGGCAGCCAATCAATGATTCTCTCTCATCATTGATGTTTCTATCTCTCTCTCCCTTACCCTCTCTGAAATCAATAAAAATAGACTTTTTTAAAAAAAAAAAAGAAAGAAAAATAATGACCCAAAGAATCAACTTTTTTTTAAAAAAAAAAGAAAGAAAAATAATGACCCAAAGAATCACCTTAAAAATTGACATAAAATTCTATTGGAATTTGTAGTATTCTAACACAGATTCAGCTATAATACTGAAAAATACTGTTAGTCGTTAGAGTAGCATTCACATGTTACCTACCATATGTGACATTGTGATTTAACTCGGCTCTTCGTAAGGATTCATCAAGAACATCATACATTAATTCACTTGTCCTGTTTAAAAGATATTTTATTTGCAGTAAAATTATAGTATTATAACCCAATAAAACATAGTTTTTCAAACTTCTCCCTCTTTAAAACTGAGGATCTACAGAAAAGAACTGAAAAAAATTCATTTTTTGAAGCTATGGGAATGTCACTTTTTAAAAATTCCATTTGTTCTTTCTCATGAGTTTAACTTCCTGCTTTATTGAAGTTGACTAGTCAATGAAGATAAACATGTCAATCAACTCTTTCCTAAACCTGTACCTAGCTTACAAGTCAGGCTTTTGTTTGGTTGAACACACTATCTTTTATAGTTTTCTTTATAATAAAATATTTCTACCTGTTTCAAGTTACTACAGTAATACCTCACAGATCCAGATTATTCCAGACAGTACATTTTCTGTATTTAAACCACATAATTTTTTAAAATATTCAAACACTAGTCTATGAGCAGCATTGAGTTCTTCAGAAAGAAAACTTTAGCTTTCATTTGTGTTAAATATAAAGAAAATTAACAAATTTGTCCATTCCTATGCCATTATGATCACTGATTACTGTTGCGATAACTGGGTGGAGGTAGATGCTGTAGGAAATGCAGTACTTTACAGAGTCCTAGCACTCATCCTCCTGCCTAGAAAAGTCCTCTACAAGATGCCAATGTGAAAACTATGGCTTCTCAGCTGGTATTTTTGTAAGTTTTACAAATTCAAAAACTACTAACTGAAATAAAAACTACTTCAACCTAGCATGCACATAGTAGTCTTACAGAGAAAGTACACTGTAAAGCAAACAAGCAAAAACATCAAAATAATCTGGGGCTACACAAATTACTTAATCATTTGTATCTTTATCAAAAATTTCTTCTTTTTCTCCAATACACAACTATCAAATTCAATCTGAAGTGTGTGTACTTTGATTCCACCTTGATCAAAGTATAAATATCCAGTGAGAATCCATAACCATTTTCTAAAATCCTTCATTTTACTGTGTAAGCATTTCTTCCAGAGAAAATAACCATATAGAGAATAACCAAATTCTCTCCCCCCGCCCCAATTTAGTAATTCTTCACCTGGATTACAATCTAGTTTCTTAATTATAAAAGCCAATATCTGGCATAAATCATATTTAACCACATGAAATGTAGAAACATTTGCAGACATGATCAAGCTAAATATAAATAACCTAAGAAGCAAAATGCTGTAAAACACAAGAAAATACTCAAACAATAGATATAAAAACCCATCAATAAATAATTACTAAATTATTTCTTTCAATTAAATACATTAGAATCTGTTATAACATAACATTTTTTCTTTGCCACACTGGGTTAATCATTTCTTAAGAAATATAAGGTTTATGTTAACATAAAATCTCATTAGAGTTGGAACAACAAAGGAGAAAACATTTTAATGTTCCACAACATTGTAAGAGTTCCCATCTTTAGTCACTTTAATTGTGCCTAATTTCTATTCAACTGAGCCCTTTGAAGGTAAGCGCTCTTAGTCATCTTTGTATGTTTGCTCCAAATTCATCCATGAAAGAAAGGGAAGATGATGAGTTACTACATTTAGTAAATTCACTAAAAGCCTCAAAGTTCCTTCCTGACAGCATATGATGGCATTAAATCTTTTTAGACCAGTAAGGCCTGGGTGCATTACTATGAAATTTGTGGTTTTAAAAGAGAATTCCAGTGAACTCCAACTAGAGCTCCACAACAAGATAGGTTGGGTTACATAAAATAATATGTATTTAGGACAAACATTTTTCATGTGTGTCTGCTCCATGAGATTCCCTAGTTTCAATCAGGGTTGAGATTCATAAACACAGAAAAAAGTAAAATAGCAATACACCAAGAGTGATATAGCCCAGTTAGCACTTATCAGGAGTGCAAAGGGCAAATGGATGCTGACAAGGCATTACAAGGAGTGACATCCTCGAGGACAATCCCTTCGTAAAGATAGGCTAAGAATCAGAATGTAAATGAATCCTACTGCATAAAAGAGAACCGAATCTCATAAAGTCAAAACACTGAAACTCTTCAGGGACTCAAGACATGGTCCTTACTCTCAAGGGAACTAAAATCTAGTTGGACTTGCTCTCAAATAGTTCAGAAAAAAATGAAAAGAATGTGTGCCCTACCTGGATTGGCTCAGCAGTTAGAGCACTGGCCCTGGGGTTTGATTCTGGTCAAGGGCACGTACCTCGGCTGCAGGCTCAATCCCAAGCCTGGGTCAGGGTGCATGTGAGAGGCAACCAATCGATGTCTCTCTCACATTGATGTTTCTCTCTCTCTCTCTCTCTCTCTCTCCCCCCCTCCCTTCCACTCTCTCTAAAAAAAAAAAACAACAAAAAAATATCCATGGGTGAGGCTTTAGCGATAATAATGTGTGCACACATGCACATACAGAAAGAGAGAAAATGCAAACAATAAATCTAGATAAAGGGCATAAGAAAGCTCCTTGTACTATTCTTGGAACTTTTCTTTAAGTTTGAAATATATATAATAGGTAAGATACCCATAAAATATAAATTATTGGTTAAAGGAGTATTCAGACAAATGAATTAAGGTGAAGCATCCAACTAGAGCCAAGGGTCAGCAAGCTATAGTCCGAAGGCTCACTTAGCTGGTCATCTATTTTTGTATGGCTGCTGGCTAAAAATGGTTTTTACATTTTTAAATGGGGGGGAGGGGTCAAAATAGTAACATTTCACAACACATAAAATGTATGAGATTCAAGTTTTAATGTCCATAAAAAGATTTTTTTATTAATTGTGCTCATTTGTGTACTGTCTATGATTGCTTTTGAGCTATACAAGAGCAGAGTTGAGTGGTTGCAACAGGCAACATATAGCTCACAAAGCCTAAATATTTATTACTATCTGGCCCTTGACAAAAAAAGTTTCCCAACCTCTAAAGTAGAATGACTAAGAAAGCTTCAGAGAAGACATGAAGCTTCACCGGTACCTTTCACTATGAGTAGGATTTAGATAAGCAGAGAGCCAGGATTATCCCAGCAACCTGAATTATATACTTCTTATAAAGTGGTTTATTTATCACTACTAAGCCAACCCAAAGCATTAGGAGAATCTGGCTTATCTTGAAACCTCCAGGTGATTATCAAATTTACTTAAGTTTACCTTTGATCGTCTTTTCCTAGAAGTCTTAGTATTCTCAACAGCTGGATTTGTAACCATGGTGCTGGGACACTGTGGTAATTGAAATCTACTGGGAGCTTTCCTCCAACTACTTGCTTCAAAATTGTTACAAAACTCCCAGTCAAATCTTTATATCCAGATGAATTCTCCTACATCCAAAAAATAAAAAACAAAAAACCTTCTGTTAATAATAATGTCTTAATACATATAAAATAGACTTGGTTGAAATGCCGTATAGAATCTAACTTAATACATGTTGACTTAGAAGTTCCATGTTCACATTTAATGAAAGTGTTCCAGTCTGATTAATTTCTTCCATGATGAAACTCCTCTGGCCACTGATCCAAAGCTGAATCATCCCCCAAAAAGCTTCCACCACTCCCTACTTGTTCCCACACACAGTATAATCACATTTCAAAAGTTCTTATAATTACATCTTATATAGAACTTTTAATAGTCAATACTGGCAATAAATAAAAAGGTAAAAAGAACTGGCATACTGAAAAAGGGCTGTAATATCTCTACTTTTGAGGAAAATTAAGACCTGTTTGCAATCTCTAAACTTTGCAAAAGTCTTCTCATGTAAATGAGCTAAATGTGTTCTGGGTGGAAGAGCACAGAGCACAGGTAAGACTACTCAAACATTTAAACCCTCCAAAGTCAGTGAATCTGTCTATTAAAAACTAATCAGCCCTACAGTACTTAAGTATGTTGGGGTTCTGAATGAGTGTACCTTAATTATATATCTGACTAATCTCTTGGCCTGGGGGAATTAAATACACATTCCTCAAAATGAACACTAGATTCGTCATCATAATTTTATTACATATCAAGGACACATTTTTTTTTAAAGGAAATAATAGCTCTTTCAAAGTTTAGTAAATGTTAGAGGAAAAATAAGATTCAATATCAAATATCTATCTATTTATATCATATTGTTCTAGAACACAATGCATTAAAGATACCTTCAATTCTATAATTTTAAATTGAATTCAACAGCATATTCCATTTCATTATGAAGTACTCATGAAATCTCTCACAAATATATACTTTCAGATATAAAGTGTTTCAGGCAATTCACTGTGGCTGAATTAGTAGAAATCCATGTCACTAATTAGAAAATGTTTTTACCATACCATTCAACCCTCCTAGCTTTTCTGATACCGTATCAATGTATGGCATCAACACTAGTCTCTACCTTGCAAAACCCCTACAGGCTCTGCTCATTTCTATAAGCTGTTATGCATCACATAAAGTTGTATAAAACACAATCACTACTTAAAAAACCACAAATCCGCCCTGACCGGTTTGGCTCAGCGGATAGAGCGTCGGCCTGCAGACTCAAGGGTCCCAGGTTCGATTCTGGTCAAGGGCATGTGCCTTGCTTGCGGACACATCTCCTGTGGGGAGTGTGCAGGAGGCAGCTGATCGATGATTGATGTTTCTAACTCTCTATCCCTCTCCCTTCCTCTCTGTAAAAAAATCAGTAAAATATATTTTTAAAAAAACAAAAAACCACAAATCTGAAAATTTCAATCACTTTCCTACCTATCATTTTTCTATGCTTCTTCAGTAACATGAAAAAATTTCAGGCATTAAAAAAAAAAAACTGCCATGGCAGGTGTTGCTCAATGGTTGGAGCACTGGTTGCTCTCAGGTTCAATTCCCAGTCAGGGCACATACCCAGGTCATGGGTTCAATCCCTGGTCAGGGTGCATATGGGAGGCAACCGATCACATGGATGTTTCTCTCTCTGTCTCTCCCTCTATTTTCCTCTCTAGAATCAATGAAAAAAGCATATGCTCAGGTGAGAATTTAAAAAAAACAAACTAATTCTATAATGTGCCTACTACGAAAGCTACCAACAACTTGCAAAGATTACTATTTATAAGGCAATAATAGCCCTGGCTGGTTTGGCTCAGTGGATAGAGCGTCAGCCTATGGACTGAAGGGTCCCGGGTTCAATTCTGGTCAAGGGCACATACTGAGGTTGCGGGCTTAATCCCCAGTAGGGGGCGCACAGGAGGCAGCCGATCAATGATTCTCTCTCATCATTGATGTTTCTATCTCTCCCTCTCCCTTCCTCTCTGAAATCAATAAAAATATATTTTTAAAAAAATAAAAGTCAATAATAAAACATTGAAATTAAGCATTTGACTGAAAAATCTGAGGTTTTTTTTTATTATGCCATAATTATATTTTTCTAATGGCAACTACTGAAATTTTCAACTTACCTTAATCATCCTATGGTATATGTGCAAGGAAGCAGCCATGACCCCAACATCTCTGTCACAAAGTGCTTTCTGAAACTTAATATGGATATGTTGTACTTGATTAGGAGCAATGAGATGGAATTTGTATAATGCCAGAACAGCTTTTCTTCGTATAATCTCCCTAAAGATAAAAAATGAAATCTGAACAAACCATCTGAATTTTCAGGCATTTAATTTTAAAAGATTACAGGCCAAATGATTTCAATATATTAGCTATCACCTTAATCTAAAAAGAGGAATACACATTCATTAATTTCTTTTCTTAAATGTAGGGCGCAGCTATAGGGTTAAGCCTCGGATTGACCTGTTGGCAAAGCCACAAACGAGTCCCAGCTTAGAGGGCACAGTCCTCTTAGCATAATTAGTCTTGACCTTATGATCCGCCCTAGAGCTGATCTGGGAAGCTAATGGGCTGAGGGAGATGTAGCAAGTGCTGCCAAAACAGGTGAAACTGACAAGAACATTGTAACTATGGTGACCACTACCTTGTTTATCTCTGGCTATAAAATAAAGGCTCAGCTTGCCTCTGGATCTCTCTCTGTGGCCTCAGCCAGGCACAGGAAGATCCACCTAGCTAGACCCAGCTTATTCTCTTTGTCATTTCTTCATCCTTCACCGCACTCATTCAAGCTTTCGAACCCTTGGCTGAGCTGGCTCGGCACACTTAAAATTTATTTTTATTGACTTTAGAGATAAAGGGAGGTAGAGGTAGAGAGAGAGAGAGAGAGAGAGAGAGAAACATTGATTTGCTTGTTCCACTTCTTTTTGCATTCATGGGTTGATTCTTGTATGTGCCCTGACTAGGGATCAAACCTGCAACCTTGGCTTATGGGGACAACACCAACTGAGCTACCCAGCCAGCGCTATTATTAATTTCTTTATTCCAATCCACCAAACTATAAAAAGTGGTTCTCTCTAGGAGATTAGATGTTAAGAGACTTTAACTGCCCATATTATATATTTATCTAATTATGGAATTTTGGGGTAACAAGCACATATTACTTTTAAAACCAGAAAAAACAAGAAAGATAAATAAATTCCTTAATTCCCTATTCCATTTTTAAAAGCCGTATCTCTAGAAATTGGGAAAAGAAGCAACAGTAAGTTTAAATCAGTAAGAGGTAACTACAGCTAGTAATATTAAAGTCTTTATTAATATTAAGTCTCTTTAACATTCTAGCTTTTTATCTTTTCTTTTTTATATTATGAGCAAGCATAATCCAAATATTTTAAGGGGGCAGGGGAGGAAGGGATTCACAGTAAATGCTGTTACTCCTCTCCTTGCTCCGTTCATATTTCAAAAACCTCATTACAATGAAAAGGAAAACATACACAAGTCTTGCACTTCGTTTGTCACAGATAATGTCTAACACAAGAAGTAAAAATAGAGTTCCTACCCTATGTTCATAATGCAGTTTCCAAGAGAGTACTATATTCCTTGTTATTCTCTCTCATGCCATGTCTACATATCTCATAGCCACAGACTTTGCTGGCACTGCTCACAGCAGCAGCAAATGGCACAAAAGAAAAGTACTTGCTTTTACTTTTATGTACTGCTATTACTTAAAATCAGAGAATATCAAAATTGAGATTATTCAAAGCAATCCTCTGTGTTCTATTCAATAATTCCTTTCCTAAGATTCCTAACAAATGGTCATCTAGCTTCTGCTAAATTCCATTAACAAGCAACTCATATCTTCCTAGCCAAACTATGCCATGATGAAAAATTATTTTCACGTAGAAAAAATTAACAACACACTTATCATTAGTATTAATACTATGGTGACTGTAAACAACATCCCAATGTATTGCTAGTGGGTATTAAGCAATATTAATTAATCTGGGAGAGAACAGGTAAATGAGATCAGAAAAAAACGAACTCTGAACATGCTCAGGAATGCCTAAGCCTGGCCCTAAGTGATGGTACTAACACAAGACCTTAAGAGACCTGGATTCGAGCTCTAAATCGGGCATGCCAAAATACAGCAGGGATTCAAAGTCGAGTCCAAACCCTGTCTCACATCTTCTTTGTGACATCCACTAGCCTACCTGTAGCTCTGTCCCATATTCTTTAGCTTCACTCTATAACATGGAATAGATATAGCCATAACTGCAGAATCAGAGTTTCAAGTCTAAACTTTAAGTAGTAGAAGACAGGAAGTCCAGGATTTGAAATTAGAGTAGATGGGAAACAGTAAGAAAAAACTTAAAAGGGTAAATGGGAAGCAATAAAGAAAAAAATCAATTCCCAGAAGAATCTATCTACACTAATAAAAGACAAAGATGCTAACTGACCGTACCTTCACTACACCCATTAGCCAATCAGAAGAGTATGCAAATTAACCCAACAAAGATGACCGTTAAATTTGCATACTGCAGGTGGGGCGGGA